GGAAAAGGTTTGGATTTGGCATAACTTGGGTCCTACTCACTCCACCCCCTTTCTCCTCCTTTTTTGTTTCTACTGCTTTCCAGAATAGCAATTCTGCATGCAATTTTGCAGAATGCTTTCTTGGCAGGTTGTTGTGATGAGTTGGCAAGTGGTTTCTGTTGGAAGGAGGACATATTTGCAGGTAGAAGAGGTTTGTGTTTAATTAACATCACTTAACAAACTTCGATTGCCTTGTGAAAAGTGTTTCAAAATCTAATGTAAATAGCACCAAAGTTCAAACCCTAAAAAATTTACATTTGCTCACATTAATAGCTAATTATTCCTTTCAAGCCATACTCTCAAAATCCAGAGAGAGAGAGAGAGAGAGAGAGAGAGAGAGAGAGATCTGAAGGCAATTGCAAAGACTGACCTCAACATCTTCCAGGAGAGGTGTACAACATTTCTGTTATGGCTGCTTTGTGGCAGCTGGAGTCTCAAGCATTATTAGCAGAATTTTGACATTTGGGACTAGGTGAGGTGTTTAATTGGTGGAGGATTTATATTTACCCATCTGGCTTGTCTTTGATCAAACACAGCTTGTGCAATCTTGCTTAAAATGATGTAAAAGAAAGATATTGAGCAGGAGACAAAATGGATGATTCTAGCATAAGAGTACGTACTTCATGAAAGAAATAAACTGTAATTTCTGCATGCCTATCTTTTATATTTTATTTTAGTTATATTTCACAGTATTTTTATTGTATGTGGCTAGCTTTTTGTCTTACCATGTAGTATATTATTTATTTGTAAGCAAAGGGATTTTGCAAAACACCATGTCATCACTTCTTTCTCCAGTTAACAAAACAAGCCCTGTATTTGCCTCTGAATTTCATATTGAAGTTTGAAGCAGTGTTGTTATTGCTCTGGCACAATCTGTGCATTTTATTGAATATAAACTAAATTTTGAAATGTATTTTTATTCTAAAATGCTTACCACCCATATCCCAAGCAATACAGTTAGACAGATAAATCAGAGATCACCCATATCCCAAGCAATACAGTTAGATAGATAAATCAGAGATAAGTAATCCAAATGTTAGAATAATATTATTTGTAGAAGCTTAGCACTGTTTTTAAACAAAGGCAAGAGAACTCAATGGTGTAATAACTTTCCCATAAGGCAAAAGGAAAATGGGAAAACTGCTAAGAATGCAGTTTCCTGCCTTCACTATAATTGAGCCAGCAAAATGTTGCAGGTGCAATTGCTCTTATTCTTCAGAAACAGAAATTCTTCTCTAACAGAAAATGCCTGTGAGTTGTGAGCTAGTTGCCAATACAGAGAACAAAATTTTAAATAACATATACAGGTAAAACTCCAGAATCCATATTAGGGCAATAGTTATTAGGACATCAGCCTCCCCTACAAAAGAGAAGGCATGAAGAAAAACACACAAAATTATATGCAAACCTTCATTTGGCAGAATGTTGTAAAGGGTGTGGTGGTGCGAAAGGGATGGAACCCTTTTGGAGGGACATAAAGACTTTAAAATCAAGCCTATGTTGGCTCCTTCTCTTTTTTCCCATTTCTTCATTGTATCTCCCCTTCCCCAGCAACATCTTGCCTAAGCTTATAGAGAACTGTACTCCTGTATTACTCCTGTATGGAAGGTGATAGGGAATGTAGCCTTCCCGTTGGCATGGCATGCATCCTCTCTTTCTTCAGAAGTAGATAGGTATGGAGCCATTGTTGCTTCAATGGGGGTAGAGTACCCTAACCCCCAAGCTAACAGTCTCCAGTCTCTAAACACAATATGAAAAAAAATACAGGCTAAACCAGGATGGTACAGTATAAGTTGCATAATGAACCTTTTAAGGTGGGATGTGAAGAATTGTTTCTAGTCTGTGGCCCCCTTCAAATGTGCTAAGGCTATATGGCTTCTGTTGAGAATGGTTACTCTAGAAGACCCAATACTTGCAGGCATCCTTCAGTCTCAAGAGACTATGGTAACGTGCTCTGAACAGAGGGCTTGGAATAGCGTCTAGTATGGCTGAGGAGGCCAATACGAGAGTGACAATCTCTTCCACACTGAAGATGAATACAATCTGTTCGCTGTCCAGCTCCCTGATTTTGCTGGTTTGGGGACAACCTCTTTGCCTTGGCCTGCTGAACAAGTGTCTTCAAATTGGGGGAGGCCATGATGCACCGCCTGCCTCCATGCTGAATGCTCAGATGGTTGAAAAGGGAGATAGTAAGTTTGACAGACGAAAAGGATGTTGATTAGGTACCCTTGCAACAAGCCTGTTACAGTCTGTACTACACATACATGTTAAAAAAAGAGGCTATTTCAGGGAGAACTATATTCTGAAAGGGATGGTTTGTTCATACTGCATAGTAGCCTGCCTCTGATATGACTGAAAGATACACAAAATGCCTCTGATTGTAGGAAACTGTTGCTCCCTCTCCCCTGCCCCATGTGAAATATATACTTTTAAAATACTAATAAAACAACTGACAGACAGGAACTATTTTATGCAGTGACACCTACAGTGGTTGTTCTACTCCAGAAGCCCAAAGCTGGAGGAATGGTGGAAGAAAAGTGACAAGCAAGTAAGAGACCATTTTACCTCTTTTCTAATGAGTCAGTCAGAGCCTTTTACAGTGTTTTGATATACTTGTATGACTGAGTCACTACAGCTGCACTGAGCTGAATTGATATGTCACATGGAAGTATGATATTGCTTTGCATCATGCAAAGACCTGCAAATCTGATTGCACAGATCTACCCACAGCACTACACACAATTCAGCTTGCAAGCAATTTCAGCTAGAACATCTGAAATAAAGAATATGATGAAATTCAGGGGGCAGCTTTAGCAATAGGGTAAAATACAAATCCAGGATTTTTTTGGTTTTTTTATGTTTGAATATATAAAGCCATATAGAGTATATAAAGCTGTATATAGTCTCCCTGCTTATTTAACTTATGTGCAGAATACATCATGCGAAAGGCTGGAGTGGATGAATCCCAAATCAGAATTAAGATTGCCAGAAGAAATATCAACAAACTCAGATATGCAGATGATACCACTCTGATGACAGAAAGTGATGAAGAATTAAAGAACGTCTGAATGAGAGTGAAAGAGGAGAGTGCAAAAAACAGTCTGAAGTTCAACATCAAAAAAACTAAGATCATGGCCACTGGTCCCATCACCTCCTGGCAAAAAGAAGGGGCAGATATGGAGATAGTGACAGATTTTACTTTCTTGGGCTCCATGATCACTGCAGATGGGGACAGCAGCCATGAAATTAAAAGACGCCTGCTTCTTGGGAAGAAAGTGATGACAAACCTAGACAGCATCTTAAAAAGCAGAGACATCACCTTCCTGACAAAGGTCTGCAAAGTCAAAGCTATGGTTTTTCCAGTAGTGATGTATGGAAGTGAGAGCTGGACCATAAAGAAGGCTGACCGCTGAAGAATTGATGCTTTTGAATTGTGGTGCTGGAGGAGACTCTTGAAAGTCTTCTGGACTGCAAGGAGAACAAACCTTTTCCATTCTAAAGGAAATCAACCCTGAGTGCTCACTGGAAGGACAGATCCTGAAGCTGAAGGCTCCAATACTTTGGCCATCTCATGAGAAGAGAAGACTCCCCGGAAAAGACCCTGATGTTGGGAAGGTGTGAAGGCAAGTGAAGAAGGGGACGACAGAGGATGAGATGGTTGGACAGTGTCATCGAAGTGACCAACATGAATTTGACCAAACTCCGTGAGGTAATGGAAGAGAGGAGGGCCTGGCATGCTCTGGTCCATGGGTTCACGAAGAGTTGGACATGACTTAACGACTAAACAGCAATATAAGGCCATACCATTTAAACAACAACAAAAAGGTTAAGAGGGAAAGAGATATAATCCAATGCAAATTAAAAAGAGATAAGGAGAGAGGGTGAGTTTGCCATATCACTTCTTCCCATAGAGGAAATGAGGAAACAGCAGCTTCCACATGCACAGAGCAAAAAAGACCCTTTGCTTTGCACATACTTTTTTTTCATGCTAATACTTCAGAAAGCCTTTTTTCTTTTTTGAACAATAGTTGTAGTCAGATAGTCAAGCCTTATTGCAAGTGGCTCTGTTGATGAAACTGGACTCTCAGCGAAGAGCAGGTTCTTTATGGGTATTACCCTTGTTCTTGAATACCCTTGCAGAGGATTGCACACCCCTTTCACTTGAAAGGATGCAAGCCATTTTTTAAAAAATTTGGATGACCAAGCCTGCTAGAAAGTTATGGGTTTCCATCAACTGAACTGGACTTTCTTCCGTTTTCTTTTCGTCCAGCAGCCCTCAATAATACCCAAAGAATCTGGTCCAGAGGACACACTCAAGCATCTGCAATATGGGTGTTGTTAACAGCAATATAATTTATGGGGAAGCAAGTTGGCTCGGGTTGTGTTAGGTTAGCATTCAAAGCAGGAGGCAATGTAGTAGTGTAACTACAACGCTGTTAATGCACTTGCACAGTTTTTAACGTTTCTAAACCCTCTTGTACACTGGAACATACACCCCTCCAGAATTTTTTGGCTGGGGGAAAAGAAGGAGGCGCAAAAACCAAACCAACCAACCCGGGGCGAATGAAAGGGAGAAAACTCTTCCCATTCTCCTCCAAGTCTGTGGCTGTTGCCAGCAGCCGAAGAGTTACGGATAATAATAAATCGACCGCATGTTCGAGACAGATATCTCTGAGCCGAAGCTGTGCGCCTAGGTTTTGTGTCCCCGGCATCTTCCAAAGGCACTTTCACAAGTGACGCTCAACACGCGTTTCGACCTCACATGCGCCTTTTGTACGTATGTATACAGTAGTCTGCTGACTGCACGTTCCAAAAGTCACTCCAGGAGCTTTCTCTCCCTCCACACCCGTTTCATTCGGAAAGAGAAACACCAGCACCCTTTCCCGCTTTGAGGGGAGCAGCTCCGCCGCCTGGCCGCGCTGGGAAGGAACAGCACCGCCGCCATTGGCTTTGCGAGAGGCGCTGTCGCTAGGCTGGCCGCTTGACGAGGCGGCTTCGGTTGGAGCTCCCCGCCTCGTAACCAAGGAGCGAGCGGCTGCCATAGCAGAGAGGCACACGGCTCGGCGGCGGTTGCTTTCCCCCCCTCCTCCGCCGCCTGCCTTCCTCCACACACGCCAGGCGCCGCTCCAACCCGCGCGCTCCTCTTGAGCCTTCAATGGAAAGGGAGAGCCCAGCGTTTTCCCGCTTCGCAGCCTGGGCTCGGCTCCAGTAGGCGCAGGAGGCAGGAGGAAGCAGCAGCAGCGGCTAGGACCAAGTACTGTGCCCGAATTAGGGGCATTAAACGAAGCCCAGGCTTTGGTTTTTCAGTCCCTCAGCCTACCCCCCCCCACTGCTTCCTCCTTCCGTTTACTGTCCGGAGAACCGGGGGAAAGGGACAGCAGGAGTGGCTAGAAAAGAAGCACGGGAACGCCTGCTCCTCGCCCGGGTGGTGGTCAGTCTGATGGCGTCTCACCAGCAAAACAGGATTCAAGCTTACCTGGAGAAGAACAAGATCGGGCCCCTCTTCGAGGTAAGCGTCGTAGAGCCAGCGCGCTTCCTCTAGCCCAGGGCTTGGGACCTCGTCCGGAGTGCTGGACTCTTCTGGGCGGGAACCGCGCCCGCGCCGGCTGCCCAGGGTGGCCCCAAGTAACTTTGAGCGTTGGCTTTAATTGCAACCGGAGGCGGTTCGGAGCAGGTGAAGCCTTTCCTCAGGCGCTCGCGAAGGGGCTGCCGGATGCTCCGGTGCCTCGCCGTAGCTGCACCCCAAGGCACGCTTTTCACCTCGGGCATCCCGGGCTGCCTGCCTTGTCTTTCTGCTTCGCTCAGGTTCTCCCGTCAGCAGTTCTTGGGCAGCAGCCTTTGTTCTGGTTCTGCTCCTCACGCTTCCCCTCATACGGTATTCTTGTGGGAGAAGCTGCACCTGCCTGTGCTCTCCCTTTTAAGCCCCTCTTGAAGGCAAAGAAGCCTTCCGCTCACCGGTGAACGGGGCAACCCTGTCGTATGCTGCTTCGTGTTTGGCATGCCCTGCAAGTTCCTCAAGCTGTAACGTTAATATTCTCGCTTTTCTACCTGCTTTCAAAGGCATACCTCTTGCTTCCCTCTTTCAAAAGGTGGCCTTAAGTCAAAATGGTGATGCTTATTGTAGACTATGTTCCCAGAGCTGGCGGAAAATGTTTCACTGCCTTTAAACTGAGGATCTCTCCCTCCATCAAATACCTATAATAGTCAAGACTGGTCAAATTATTTTGACATGTGAATAAAAGAATCCAACAAGTACTTCTCACCCTTTGTAGCAGTAAAAGTACAGTAACAAGTGACATCTAACCATTTGCATCCTTTTCATGACAGGTCAACTTGGATGCCAGAAATAATCACCGCATGCAGCATAATGGAAGGGCTGGCCCCATATGCTTCAGAAAGCCATTGCAACATATATTCTTTTTTTTTTTTTACTAGAACATGACCTGTTCCTTGTTGTTAACTACTCTTTATTTTTCTGTAGATGGTTTTTTCCTTCCCAATTACACATACTTTAAGTAGCTTAATTAAAAAAAAGTTTAGACCACCTGACAACTAAAGTTCTTTGCCAAGTACACAGGTTAGAAATGTGCCTTTACTCAGCTCCTTTGCTTGTTTACATGATCTTGCTGTCATGTAAAATTTTCTTTCTCTTTCATGTATGCCATTCTTATATTAGCTCGCTGCAGACCTCTTGCTCTTGGTTTGTGTTTTAAAACTACTGTATATTGAGCAGGAACATGTAAACGTAAGTATATGTATGTGCTTGCCTCCATTGAATGCATTCACTTTTTTTCTGCTGCTACATGTCCAAAGTCAGGGACACTGCAGTTAGTTAGAATAATCCACATTACGTATAGAGTTACATATGTTACCTTTGCTCTGGAAACAGCCTGACCTTTTATGGATTCACTGTCAGTTTCTGTGTATGCAAATCCAGAGAGGGTAGCGTCCTCTTAGTTGCCAGGGCACAGGGTCAGAGAGTGACTTTGTACTGCCCAACCACAGAAGACACCCTGAGGTTTTGAGCTTCGCCCTTCCTGTCATTTCAATGTGAGGGATAGAGAGTGTTCTAGAGGCTCCCCAGACAGGAGAGTGGTGAGGGATGCGCATGCCGACTCAGCACATGGGAATGTTTGCTTCAGGGTATACAGTAATGTGAAAGCAGCATTACTGGGCTTGGAGAGAAAACCAGATGATAGCTGAAGACTTAAGCATGCCACACATTCTAGCGTAGATGACACCGGACCTATTATCTTCTTTTCACTGATCTGAAACAAAAATACCATGCTAGAGATTAATTCAGGATTACTGAAGCACAAGGCAGATTAAAAAAACAACACAAGATGCTTACAAAAGCCACCCATCCCACTGAAACATTGAAAGGTATGTTTCTTTGATTTTTATTTACAATTATATAATTGACAGGTTACAGCATTTTGCTGTATATGTTGATCTTTGATTTTAACATCTATGTAAAAGCTTAAAATGCTTTAGTCACTGAATATAACTTTACAATTTTCATTGGTACTGTAGGGTGCACTTAATCAGTTACTATGCAGCAGAAAATTTCCTTAGGCTAACCCAATTTCCCATAATATATCTTTGATAATAATTTTTGAAAGGAATCATGTTTCTTGTACTTTATTCATTAGCTTCCACTGAGATTCCTGTGATACAAGACTACCTTCTTCCAATTCATTTTATGTTGTTGTTTAGTCGTTTAGTCGTGTCCGACTTTTCGTGACCCCATGGACCAGAGCACTCCCGGCCCTCCTGTCTCCTGTAGGGAGAATTTTAAAAGTTAACATAGGTCTTGTTACTGGAGTAGTTTAATTTTCTCCTCCCTAGAAGCTGTTCTTGGACTGTTGTCAAATATATATAGAAAGTACATTGCTTTGCAACATAAAGCATGCTCTAAAATGAAATTATAGACTAAAGACTATAATGATTCAGTCTTTATGAACTACCCAATGTGGAATTCTATTGTTGTCATTAATCCGTATATTTTTAAAAATGTACTATTCTTATTAGCCATTAAGAATTGATGCCACAGTAATATTTGTGGTAAACAATATTTACTTAAAGTAGTTCAGTTTTTGTGAATAGAGTCCCAACATATATGAAAAGTAAGCAAGTAAAAACCTACCACCACCTGAATAAAGCTCAGTCATGTTCATGAGCCATATACGGTATAGCCTCAGCTGCTGCGATATTTATGTGAGGTTTGAAGATTCTGATTCAGTGTAGCTCATATTTGTTGTGTGAGATTTAGACCAGCCTTGTATCTTCTCAGTGAGAGTAGTCAATATTGTTAACATTTATGTATCTTGATAACATGTATGATGACCCGAATCCCAGTTGGTTTTGAATTCTTAGTAGCCCAAAAGTTGTGTGACTTGGCACATGACTGGGAATAAAACAGTCACTATGCAAGCACCTAGAAAACAGTTCAGTAATACCCTGTTTCCCTGAACAGAAGACCTAACCTGAAAATAAGCCCTAGTAGGATTTTTCAGGATGCTTGTAATATACTGTAAGCCCTACCCCCAAAATAAGTCCCAGTTAAGTGAAACACCGCCCTCCACCATTGTGCAGCAACCAGAAGAAGATGACATGACTGTATTTGAATAAATGTAGATTTTTGTACATAAAAAAAATAAAACATACCCTGAAAATAAGCCCTAATGCATTTTTGGGAGCAAAAATTAATATAAGATCCTGTCTTATTTTTGGGAAAACATGGTAACCATAAGCCAACACACAATTGTCAAGAATAAATCCTGCCAGACTAATCTGATCTCATTTTTTGATCGGGCAACTTGACACTTGATCTATCCAGCCCACACCTATTTAACCTGTTAATTGGGGTAACATGGGGAATTTTGTCAAAAGCTTTGCTGAAGTCAAGATATACTATGTCTACAGCATTCCATCTATCAATCAGGGGACAAAATGCTCCATGAGATCCTGATTAGCAAGTTAACTAGGTGTGGGCTGGACAGATCAAGTGTCAGGTGGATGAAAAAATCTTACTCAGAGGATGATGATTAATGGCTCCTCCAACTAGGAGGAGGTAAAAAGTGGGGTACCTTAAGGCTCAGTCCTCGGTCCAGTGCTCTTCAGCGTTTTTATTAAAAACTTGGATACGGGAGTGCAGGGAATCCTTGTCAAAATTGTGGAATATCTAATACCCTGGAAGACAGAAACAAAATTCAAAATGATCTTGATAGGCTGGAGTACTAAGCTGAAAACAACAGAATGAAAGTCTGCACAGTGCAGCACCTTGGAAAAAGAAACCAAATGCATAGCTACAAGATGGTGGATACCTGGCTCAGCAATACTACAAAAGAGAAGGATCTTGGAATTGTTGTAGATCACAAGCTAAATATGAGTTAATAGTGTGATGTGGTTATAAAAAAGGCAAATCTTATTTTAGGCTGCATTAACAGTTTCCAAATGCCACAAGGTGGTAGTTCTTCTCTGCTGAGCATTGGTTAGGCCTAATCTTAACGACTAAACAACAACAACAATCTTAAATATTGTGTCCAGTTCTGGCTACCACACTTCAAGAAGGATGCTGACAAATTGGAACAAGTTCAGAGGAGGGCAACTGAATTTAACAATAATAATTTATTATGGTCAGTGAGCAGAAAGATAGAGGAAAATGACAAGGATGATTGAGGGGCTGGAAACCAAGCCCTATGAGGAAAGGCTGAAAGAATTGGTCATGTTTAGCCTTGAGAAAAGAAGACAGAGACATGATTAGATGACACTTTTTAAATACTTGAAAGGCTTCATACAGAGGAGGGGCAGAATCTGTTCTCAATCATCGCAGAGTGCAGAACATGCAACAATGGGCTCAAGTTACAGGAATCCAGATTTCAACTGAATATCAGGAAAAACTTCCTAACTGTTAGAGCAGTAAGGCTGGAAGCAATTACCTTGAAAGGTGGTGAGTGCTGCAACACTGAAGGCATTCAAGAGAAATTGAGACAACCACCTGGCAGATATCCTTTGATTTGTATTCATGCATTGAGCAGGGGGTTGGACTTGATGGCCTTACAGCCCCTTTCAACTTCACTATTTTATGAATCTATGCACTAAACAATTGTACTATGTTAGTTTAGTTAGGTATTTCAGGGGATATTGATATTCTTTTGTAATCCTCAAATGTGTTAATAGATTTCAACAAATAAGGGTGTCCTATCAGAGCCCGCTGCTTGGCTTCCCATCCTAAATAACTACATTTGCCATTCAAATGATGTTTTAATTACTGAGGGGCTACCACTTAAATTTTGCACATTGTTCCAGAGTGACATATGTTGAGGGCATTCTGGATGGCTTAAAGCACAGGTAGCTCACAGCCAGTCACAACACTGTAATTGCTCCTGCCACTAGTTGGTAAGCCCCACTGGTAGAGTACCAGTTTAGAAGGGTTTGTACAGGGGGTCCAATTCAAATCTGAAGCTAGCGTTGCCTGCTCAGTACTTCCATATATTTTCTAGAATG